GTGAAGAACGCGTCGTCATCCTCCTCTGCCTGTAAGCCCGCCTCTGCTAGAGCGATGAGCTCGCTCAGTCTGCCAGTGTCGTCGTCAGCCTCCTACGCCTGAATGCCCGCCTTTGCTAGAGAGATGAGCTCACTCAGTCTGCCAGTGTCATCCTCAGCCTCCTGCGTCTGTATGCTCGCCTCTGCTAGAGCAATGAGCTCACTCAGTCTGCCAGTGTCGTCCTCATCCTCGTCTCCATCATCACACAGCACAATCGGTGATTGAACGGTGCGACCAGCTCGTGATCTATGGCCATCTAACTTCTTCTCCTCATACCTTGCACGAGCCACCTCTGCAGCATGTTCCCCGCTGCAACCAATCCCTTGATGTATAAAATGCAATCAGTTAGCAACTCGATAATATTACATTTAAAACCAGGCAACGAAAAAAGGTTTTCAAGCACTCACTGGCACATAATGTAGCAACATGCTCGTTTAAGACCTGCATCTGTACTCTTGTCTCCTCCCTTGCCTCATTCCTTGCCCTCTCCTCCTCTAACGTCGTCCGCCTCTCCAATCCCCATTTGTTAAGCCCAACATCGATCGGGTTACAAATACCGCGCTGTCTAGCAAACTCACGCATCTTTTCTTTGTGATGTTTAACGAATAGGTTGACGTAGTTAGGTCCATATCCCCTCTTCCGTGAAATTACTTGCCTCTTCTTCAGTTCATCCAAGAACTTAGCTTGACCATCATAACATTCCCAACTGCATTTCCTAGTGCTCTGTTCAAAACAAATATTATATCATATATGTATTAGGAAAACAAACAAAATACGATTTCATGTTTACCAGAAAAATAACGAACCTCATCATACTCAATCATATGGCCGCAATAATGACCTATTCCAAGCTCCGAAGGGACTAGGCCATAGTTGGATTTTACACCACATTCGCACATGACAGGAGGTGCTTTGTAGATTACCCGTTCTTTCTTCTTTTCCTTAACCCTCCATGGTTCTTCCGGCCATTGGTTCTTAGGACCATACAACCACTCCTTGAAACGACACTTCGCCATTGAATACACCTAAATAATGAGACATTAGTATATAAACACATATAGCTCAAGATTTTAACACATACACTTTGCACTTACTTCATGCTTGTTTGGACACACAAACTCCAACGTATTCTCAGGGTTTATCACAGCTCGATCTCCACAATCGCACAGAGGAGGTTCCTCGAGTCGTCTAACTGCGGCTAGGTGCTTCTCCTTAGTCGTCATTGCCGGAGGGTTAGGGGGGTGGAACCCACCGCTTGAAGTGCTCACGTGGATGTCTCCCTCTAAACCAATCGTCGAAAAAGAGGTACCTAGGATCAAACTTGTCTGCACCATCGATCCACTGAAAGAAAAAGCACCTCTCATGGTCCTACACAACGAGATTCTAATAAAATATTAGTACCATACTTAAACAAATAAAAAAAAGGATAGTACAAACAATTTCTTACATTAAACCGACTACATGTGTAGAAGCAACGCGCGGCTGTGTCCGGATGTTTCGATTGAAAAACATGGGCCGGGAAACCACAGTCACAGTTAGGGACAGGAAGGTCAGGAGGAACGGGGGCATCTTTGCTAGACGCGTCGGGGTATAATTCTCGAGGACGACCCCGTTTTCGCCAAAACTCCTCCCGAAACATTTCTTGCATCTAACAAATAGGATGTAATTTAACAAACATAAATAAAAACATCACAATAAAATATCAATGAGAACCATAACTACAATACAATCAATTTCGTTCTAAGAACCAAAAGCTTTTAAAATTATACCCTAAACCTAGGGTTTCTCATTTCATCCACAACAATAAACCCATAACATAACTACATGCGGCTTGGTTTGCTAGCTTTTTCCACGCCTTGAAATGAACCTACGGTTGTATAATACATATATTGAGGGATACAATGAAACCCTAAGTGATGACGATTCTTAGGTTCAAAAATCTGACTAATATGTACCGAATCGATGCGAGAAAAACAAGGAGGTGAGCGAGTATACCTTGCTCTCGAAGATCTACGGATCAAATCAAGGTTTTCAAGGTCCAATATGTCGATTCGTGAGGTAGGGTGAAGTGGCGAGAAAAAAACCCGAGGAGAAATAAGAGGAAGAACGCTCGGGGAAGAAGTGCAGGATGGGTTAAATGCAGGTGGCTCGGCGCCATTAAGACTGGCGCCGAGCTCGGCGCCAAGGTCTCTGGCCGAGAGCTCGGCGCCGATCACTCTCACGCCGAGCCTGGCAAACCATTTTCCTGTGCCGGGACCTCGGCGCCCGATGGATCGTGGCGCCGAGCTCGGCGCCAGTCACTCTGGCGCCGAGCCAAGGGTCCATTTCTAGAATTGTTTCCGCCAGGGTCTATTTGAGAGAAACTTTCGAAAAATGGGCCAAATAGTAAAAAATTCGGCAGCAACGACACTGCACGTGAGACGAAAAAAGCGGTGGTGCTGCATGCGGGACAAGAGCAGCGGCGGTGTAGCGTGCGGGACGACGGCGCAGGATAGAAGCAACGACAACGCAGGACGCGATGCACTGGACGCGAGCGACATGAGTTGGAGAGATGTGAGTTGAGCTGGGCGCGAGCGAGCGGACTGAACGGTCGGGTCAAATCGAATGAAAGAAATGGAGTGATTTTGGCTCTTTAATCTTATATATATTTTTGAGATTTAGTTGTTTCAGGTATACTTTTTTGTATTTTTCAACATATATGTTCCGTAGTAGTATATTATTGTAATTTTCATACTTGAGTTTGGCATTGTTGGTGACTCACAAAAACAGCGCCAACTCTTGTGTGCTGACTGCTCTTTCCCTCCAAAAACAGAGACAGATAGCACATGGGGAGAAAAAAAAATGAGAGAGAAAAGTGGCTTTCATCCTAGCCATTGATGGTTCCTTGAAGGGCTGAGATGCTGCTACTGCTTATCTTGCAGTAGTAGCCACTGCACCAGATCCTGGTCCCATCCAATGGTCTCTCTATTGTAGTAGTACCAAATCTAGCGTTTGCACAAATTGGAATGATGGTTTGAATTACCAGAATGCAAGGAATCCAAATAATGCTGCATTCCACATATCTAAACCTTGAAACTTACTTCTTCACTTTTCTTCAGGTTATCTGTGGGCTGATATGAAGATGAAGATACATAAGCAACACAAAAAACGTAAAAGCAACTGTTCAACATAGGAGTAGCTAGTTTCAGAATAGTTGAATCAGATATCATGAGTATAAACACCTCCTGCTTTGTGAAGGGTGTGCCCAGGTGAAACCAACCGCAAAAGCATGCATGATAGCTGTATGTTCAATAAGAATATACAAGATTTCAGTCACATTTAGGCACACTTAATTATATCCGGCTTGATATGGGACGCAAAAAATAATATGAATTTCATGAAAGATTCAGAATGCATAAATGACAAATTTGGGATGCCTAATTGCCTAAATAACTCGGTTCAGTCAGTTATGGAAAACATATTATGGTAAAACCCTTTTTATTGCCCATAGATCTTGGCTGCTATTTTGGGGATTAATCACATCAAATAATCCTGAAAATTCTAAATTAGACTTGGTAACGTTTTATTATGACATAGTTACTTCACCTGTATTTTATTATTTAATACTAACCACACGGTTTTTAATGCTGATGTAACTATGAGAGAAAAGGCAGTTCCAGTTCAGCCATTACTGAATAACATTGTCATAATCCTAAACAATGAATAAATGATTTCTTAGAAAAACAAAAGGTTAACTAAGAGTTCACTTTGACTGTAAAGAAAACTGAGTCTGAGTGTTTCGCATGCCCATGGTACAGTAACACATCTTCCTTATTTCAGCAAATTATTCCAAATCATAAGCATACAGATACGGTCGTAGGTTATGTCATGCGAAAACGATTCCAAAACATGTTTATTACCATAACATAAGGAGATTTCAAATATTATCTGGTAATCAAGGATAAGAAAATAGAAGGTATTACATGAGTTTAATGAAGACTAACCAATAACTAATTTAAGTGAATTGAGCTATCAGCGATAATGCTAGATTAAAAAATAATTCTTTCAATTAAGAAATTTTGAGATGTAAATAATCTCGTTGGTATTTGATAATAGTAGTGATTTTTTATTGATTTATTCCTCTTGAATGAATTGAAATTCAATAAACAATTGCCCATGTATCTTGAGTGTTAAAATTCATAGAAGTCTATAAGTCTCTGAATAGGCCCACGAACTCAAACTGAATGTACCTCTGCAACAGAGTAGACTGCACAACAAATGATATACCAGGCTCAAAAAATTAAAAAAAAAATCATAGAAGCTGGGTCTCAACGTTAGCTATAGTTTCTCAGTTGACAATTTCTGCAACAATATGAACTTCACCTAAAAACTTTTCGCTCAATCACGTCGAATCTTTGGACACATGCATAGAGCATTAAATATAGATAAAAAATAATTAATTGCACAGTTTGCATGTATTTTGCGATACGAATCTTTTGAGCCTAATTAGTCCATGATTAGCCATAATTGCTACAGTAACCCACAATGTGCTAATAATAGATTACTTAGGCTTAATAAATTCGTTTCGTGGTTTCCAGGCGAGTTATGTAATTAATTTTTTTATTAGTATCCGAAAACCCTTTCGATGTCCCATTAAACATCTGACGTGACATTAAAAAAATTTCGTGCACGAACTAAACACGCCCTGAACTTAGAGAATTCTCTTTCATTCTACAGATCTGAGAGAGAGGGAAGGTACGCACCCAGCAGCCGTAGGGACAGCTTATGGCGTGGAGGTCGTGGGCTCATGGCCGGTGAGGATCTTTGCTTAACTTTTGCATCGTGCCGCTGCTGCCGAGGAAAGGGAAGAGGAAGGGCCGGGGAGTGTACTGAGAGGAGGCGTCCATTGCTGCTCTGTCCTCTTTGGTGCTTGCAAAGCGAAGACAAGGCACCATGGATTAGCCCCCGTTGTTCCTCCGCGCTCACCAATGCGCTTCTCGCCGCGGGAGCTGCACTCCTACATGTATCACGGCTGCGGCGAGGCGGCAACGGATCGATAAGTCAGCCATGGCGCTTGCTGCAGCGACGAACACATAGAGTGCGGGCAGGGGAACTGAGCAGAGAGGGCGTGAACGCGAGCGAGGAGCCGTGCGCAGGCTCGCCTCCTTCTTAAGCGCGGCGCAGGGGCAGGGCACGGCTAGCACGGCGGCATGGACACCCTGGCGAGCCATGTGCGTGCCTGTGCCCGCAACGCTGGCGGCGCCGGGGTCTCAGGGGCCGCTGGTGCCTCTGCCCGCGACTGGATGGCCGGGTCGGAGCGGCCAGGGCCGCCGCGCCGGCACCCCGCCTGCGCCGGAGTCGTCGCGGCAGCTGGGCCCTCACCCGCGCCGGGATGGCACCGGGGTGGCCGGAGCCCACCACGCCATCACCGCCGGCCGCGCCGGGGTCGCAGGGGCCGCTGGCCCCCCGCCCGCGCCGGGATGGCGGAGAACGGAGCGGGTCCGCCGCGCTCGCACCCCGCTTGCGCCGGGGCCGTTTGGGCCCTCACCCGCGCCGGGAGGAAGGTGCGGTGCGGGAGTCGCCCGCGAGCGGGTTCGCGAGTCTTCGGGTTGATGGCTAAACGGGTGAGAGGTCTGCTAACCACATCGGACGGTTCACGTTGCTTGTTGGCTTGATCTGACGGCTAGCGGGTTTGCGGGCGACGTGGCTATATCCGTAGGCTGCCTGTCTTTGGGCCTTTCTGTGCCACTAGTTTTTCGGGCGCGCCCATGCGCGCGGTCCACTGGCCATACGTATTTTTTGGAGAAAAAAAAGATATAATCAAAGTTGGGCTGTATTTTGATTTGAGAAAAATCTGAGGATGTTTTCGCAAAAAACGGTGAGAGTGTCTGGGGAGCGCGAGTTGATTTTCGATAAAGTGGAGGTCTTTTTGCAAACAAACCAAGTACCCATCCAGTCTGGATGAGCGTTGATTTGGAAATAATACGAGGCGTTTTTTTGTAAAAAATTCTGAGAGGACGTCTGGAGCGCGGGTTGATTTCCGAAAACTTAAAGGGGTTTTTCGTAAAACGACCACGGCTCGCCCGATCTGGGCCGTCCGCGCGGCCGATCGAACGGCCGCGAAAAGCCGGCGACGTGGCCACCCTGAGGCCGCGACGTGGCCACACCAAATCATATCTTTAGATATCGGAGAGCTGGCATTTGATTTACGTAGCCATATCATTTTTGTCATTAGATAACAAAGATATGGCTGTCTTCCTTGTCCATGGTCCACGAATTTCTCTCCTTGGGTGTTCCTCCCAAATCTTCCCTTAGCTAGAGCAGCGAGCCGATCAAGATAACAAAATGATTAAAATTTCGACTCCTTGTTTGATGTGGCTTGGAGATCTATCCAAAGTTGAGGATATGAGCTCTAAATTTTGACATATTAATTGGAGCGAGTATTTAAGGAGCAGCAATGTACATACTTTAAAATTGCAGTAGTGTGTACACACTTCAAATTGTTATTAGTGTACGTAATAATGCTGCAGAATCCGGCCATGGTAAAGATCGACATGGTTGGAGCATATGTGGCATATATGGCTCAAAGTAGCGTTATTGCTAGAAGTGAAGATATTGTCTGCTTAACAACTTGGCAGGTGCTTCTTCACTGTGAAAATGCATGAAGGGTGCTTTAATATGTAGCATTGGCGCGATTGGTCGGCTAGTATCAAACTATTCATTATTCAGATTAAATTTCCATGTCAAAGTTTTAGATGTTGCTACTCTTCTTGATCCCTGAAAACTTAGAAGAGCAAGCTATATCTGACTACACCTGATGAAAAATTAAGAAACATGCACATGGAGAGATAAGAACCAAATTGTAAGATGCGTTGATGAGCTGATCATGATGATTATTTGCCCAGAAACGATGCTACTTGCAATGACGGACGCCAGAACTCGAGTGAGCGATGTCTAAGTTGTTATTATTGACAAAGAGAGTAGCAGGTTCGGTTAAGAGGGAAACTTTTTTTTCCTTTTCGGTTATTACTCCCTCCGTCCTCAAATAAAGTGCATTCTAGCATTTGAAATTTATTCTCAAATATAATGCATTCAGGAAACAAGAAAATATTGTTTACTTAAATAAAATACGTGATTATTTTGTCTATGGAAAGTAATTCATGCACTTGCCATATTTTTATAGGAGACTAAGAGTTCACCCTTTACTTATGCGAAAAAGAATTAGATTTCAATACATTAGGAAGGTAAGTGAAGAGTACATGCATCTATTGCACTCTCCCTTATTTTGTTTAAAAATAGCCGGAATGCATTATATTTGAGGACGGGGGAGTTTGTGTATATAAATTGTGGATAATTTGTAAAGTTATCTTCTAGATAGATGTAAAGCTCTCCAACTGTCTACAAACATGATTTCCTCCGTGCAAGATGAAGGACACGTGGCCATCTGAAGAGAAGAAGATGTGGCAAGATAAGAAGCTAGAAACGTGGCCATCTAAGGAGCTCAATACGTGGCAAGATAGGAAGCTTGATTCACAGGGGCAGATTTCGTATAGTAGAGATAGAGATGAATGAATGAATGATCCATCCTATCCATCCATGCCGCGTGACATCTGTATGCGTATGCCATTTCCATGGAGATGGCGCCCGAGGACCTCGAGCAGGAATCGACGACGACCTATAGTATGAAATCCTTGCTGTAACAATAAAAATCTTACCAGCAAGGTTTTCTACAAAATCAAAATTAACCGCGCCATGTTCGTCTAGTGGTAGGTTGAGATCAAATGCTGTCAAAAAAAATGAAAAACGATATGAAATCATATGCAAGGAGAGACGATTTGCTTTGGAGATGGAAGGCAAGCTCTTATGTTGTGGGTACGTATCCAGCAGGAAACAATGAAAGGAGAGATGATTACCGTAGCCATGGCCAACGTTGTCATCTGCAGGCTCGTTAAGATCGAACCCAACGTCGCCGTCGCCGTCGCCGTCGTCGTCTTGAGGCTTGTTGAGATCGAACACGACGTCGTCGTCGTCGTCTTGAGGCTTGTTGAGATCAAACACAACGTCAGCCATGTGTAGCTAGAAGATAGTATGGCTCAAGAGGAGAAAACGTGAAGTGAAGAAGAGAGATGGAGTGATGCTTAAATAGGAACTTTGGTTACCGAAGCGTCGCTCTTGTTAAACCAAACGAGCGCCAGCCCAAATCAGCCTTCCGAGCGCCAAAACAACGCGCCTGCAGAGCGCCACGGCAAAAATTTTCGTAAAACGAGCGCCAGGCAAGTTGTAAACAGAGACATGCAAGCCTCCGTCGCCCGCCAAGCCAAAAACAAACGCAGCGCATAAACAGCGCCATGCAAAATGAAGGCACCAAAAAACCTTGAGTACGCCAGGACTCGAACTCAACACTCATGCCTCGCTGCGCCCGAATTTTTTACTTTTTGGCTCTTTTTTCGAAAGTTTCTCTCAAATAGACCCCTGGCGGAAAGAATTCCAGAAATGGACCCTTGGCTCGGCGCCAGAGTGAGTGGCGCCGAGCTCGGCGCCACGGTGATCGGCGCCGCCGAGCTCCAACCCACGGGCAAACGGCCTGCAAGGGGCTCGGCGCCCAGAGCGGATGGCGCCGAGTTCGCGCCAGATCTTGGCGCCGAGCTCGGCGCCACTCACTCTGGCGCCGAGCTCGGCCTAAATATCTACCCGCCGGCCTTCTTCCTCCTCTAGTTGCCCTAGCCATTGCCGCCGCCGTCGCCGCGCCCGCCCGCCACGCCACACGCGTCGCCCGCGCCCACTTCTTGGCGCCACGCCCAAGGCACTCCGCCGCCATGCCCCCGTCGGCGCCCGCCGCCCGTCTTGGCGCCCGCCACGCCGTCAGCAGCGCCCGCCATGCCAGCCCCAAGCGCCAGCATGCCTTGCCCCATGCCAGCGCCATACTTCGCCGCCAGCGCCACTTTCGCCCGCCCGCCACCTACTTTAGAGAAGCCACATGAGCCAGCGCCCACGCCGGGCTTGTCCGAGCTTATTCTTTGCTCGGCCGCCGAGCTGACCACAGCGGTCAAGATAACCAGAACTCTGCGTCTTGTGTTTTCTATACCGGCAGTTTGTGGCGAGGTGTGTCGTCGGTCTCACGGCGAACCCGTCACTTGGTGGATGCGTGTACCGCATACCGTGGATGTGGGCTCGTTTTCCGGTTGGTCGTCCAGAGGTAATGGCGCTCGTCGTGAGTGGTTCCAAGGTCGACCTCAAGTCGCCAGCCGACGTGGGTGTACCTTTGGGACCAGGTCAGGGTTTCGCACACGAGGATAGACCGGGCGTACATTCGATTACCACGAACGAGCTAGATTGACGGGCGTCTAGTGTAAGTAAATTTTATTTTCCATGCACCTATTAAAAGGATTAGTATACCATCTAACATCTTATCTGAACATGATGCAGGTAGAGTGGGAGCCATATGGTGGAGAGGACGCACTACTTTTTCAGGTGAGCACCGTATGTGGGGCCGACGACTACTTCTATAGGATGAGGTGTCCTCTAATCTGCTTCTATGCTATCGAGTACCACCTGCCAGATAGGGTTGCACGCCAATTTGGAGTGAGACAGCTTTGGCCTATGCCTATGTTCTCGACTGGCGTTGACTTACACAAGTAAGTGTTTTGATATTTCAAATGAGTCATGATGATGGTCCATTTATTATAATATGGTGCCACGTCGTGGATTAATGTAACGATGACATACGTGCGGGTTGGATCGTCGGAGGAACAAGAAAATTTTTGATCGGGAGGCACCACCAGTCCTACATTGAGGAATGGGAGGAGATGCACGACAACACGGGCGACAACAACGAGCCGCACACGAACCGTGAGTTCAAAGCGGTACCAAGCTTAGGACCAGCGCTCGTTCGACAAGGTGCGAGCTCGGACTACGATGGGACCGAAGCTGACTACGCCGACATCGAGTCCTCCGACGATGAGGACACGACGTACGACCGGTCCACTCGTGCAGGAAGGCAGGTGGAGGCAGGACCGATCTTGGACAGAGTGGTAAGCCAATCGACTTATTTTGTTACGTTTAGTTACATAACAATACATTAGGTGTTCTTGGACCGACGTTAGGAGTTATCTATTGTAGTTATTGCAACCTTCGCGCTGTATAACCCTTGTAATAAGTTACATTCTTGTACAAAAGAAAACAAAACTAAATATATAACCCTTGTAATACATTAGGTGTTCAGAAGTCTTAA